TTAAGAAACTAAGTTTAAAATTTCAGATTTTTTTAAAATTTTATTTATAAATTAATTAATTAAACATATATTTTATTAATTAAATATATTAAGGCCACCCTTCCATATAATTTGGTCACAAAATTCATATAATTTGTCACATATTATTCATTGGTTACAAATCACAAATTTTATATGTCACAAATTATTTTACGATAATGATTCAAAAATTTTATAGGTCACAATTTATTTATCGATCACAAATCATAAATTTATACGTCACAATTTATTCATCGGTCACAAATCTATCAAATTAATAAATTATATATTATTATTTGGTCACAAATCACAAAATTTATATGTCAAATTATTTTACAGTCACAGTTCTGAAATTGTATAGGTCACAATTTGTTCATCAATCACAAATCAAAAATTTATTCGTCACAATTATTTATCAGTCACAAATTGTCAAATTATCGGTCACAAATTCAAAATTTTTTAAGTCACACATTATTTCTTGGTCACGATTTATCTTGTTCATTGATCACTTATTGTTTATTGGTCACATTTCAACCAATTTAATGGTCACAATCAATCAATTAATTTTTTACCACAACCATCACTTGATGCCACCACCGCACCACTCCCTCAAACAGCACCACCGCCACCACCTCCCGACAACAATACAATCACCTCAAAAAAATCAACACATCACAAAAAAACACAACTACATCGTCACGCCATACCACCACCACATCACAAATCCAAATAATTAATCACAAACACAGTTTGTCCCACTTTGTCATCGTCACTGCCGCCACCCAACCAACAACCTAACCACAACCATCTCAAACAAAAACCACCCCAAACCACAACCACCCTTTCTTTTCTCGCCACAACAATGTCAAACCACAACCACCATTTCTCTTCTTCGGCTCCGATCTGCAGGAACCACTACCATCACTTCTCTACCCCATCCCGATCCGCAGATCCCCCATCCCGATCCGCACTACCCACAACCCTAACCACCTATGACCATAGAAAAAATGGAGGAAAGGACCCTGATCTGCGACGCCCCCATGATCTGTAGTAGTGAGCACCTCGCTACTTGAGAGAGAAAGAGAGAGGAAATCTATGGTGGCTTCTTTATGCATGACACTGAACAGAGGGACCTATAGTGGTGCTGCTTGTGGTGGAGAGCGTGGCGTGCTTCTCGATCTGTGATGGTTTGACTATGATAGAGATGGGGGCATATGTAAGAGTGTGGGTATAGAGATAGAGAAAGACGTAAGAGATATAGAGAGAGAAAGGAGAGGGGAAAGTAATTAAGGTTTGATATGAAATTTGGTGGGGTGGATGGGGGTAGGTGGATATATAGATTAATTTAATTTTATATTTTTAATTTTAATATTGATTTATCATCTGATTTTTGTATAATCAAACTTTAAATCTGATTTTTGAAATGATAGCTTAAAAATTATGGTTTTATGTAATTTTCACATTGAAGGAGCAGTTAAAATTGGACCAAACTATAGGCCCAAGATTAAAATAAATAAAAGAAGCCCAAAGCTTAAAAATTTGGTAAGGGTTAGGAAATGGCCCAACGGGCTAATAAAAAACAAAGGTTTGGTTGAAAAGAAAGAGAAAATTAGGCCTTCTACTAATTTTTTTGGGAAAAAAATAGACCTTTTGTTATTTCAAAAAGTTAAAAAATTATGTATTCGTAAAATATTTTTAAAACTAAAGCAGATCTCAAATCAATCTTGCAAATCTTCTTTCCCCATCCCTTCCTCCCCAAACCCCAAAAAATTGTTTTTCCCCATCGCGTGCAAGTCGATCAAACCTCTTCACCCCGGCCATTATAGATGATGCACAACCTCATTGGACATTGGCCAAAGCCAAAGCAAATTGTGTTTTCAAAGGAAGACGAAAGTGGCTTACACTAGTGATATGCACATTGTCCACAATAGCTCAAAAGAATGCTCGTTGATGAAGGAATGTCTTATTTAGAAGCACAGCCAACTGGATGCAAGAGCTCTCAATGATGCATGAGGCCCTCTATGGTTTTACTGGACATAGCATGTCCCCACGCGGAAGGAATATCCTTGTAGATGAGATAGGTGAAGAGCTTCGCATGGTTAGGAAGAGCATGGAGTTCTTGATAAGAGAGAATTAAGTGGAAGCGAGGATTTGCTATATGATCTCCTTGAGGAGAGTAACGTCGTGCAATGGAGTAAAGGATGATTGGTCAGAGAATATGGTCATGATGGTGGACATAGCCATGGAAGAGGCTCGAAAGATAAAGAAGGTGATGATGGGACAATCCTCGACGACAATATCGACCCTTGCATCATGGGGATTCAATTTAAGGCCCCTCTATCCCAACAAAGAGCCGAATGTATTGCAAATTGGAAGTGGCTTGACGAGAGGAAAAAAGGTGAAGAAAAAGGAATTATAGTTGTCCAACCTAGATGGCTTTGTCGGAAGGCATTCAAACACGGTGGGCATTGATCGAACAATAACAAGCCATGTTTTAAGGGTCAATCCCAAGTTTTGCCCAAAAATTCAGAAGATTTGGGCACTCAATATCGAAAGGTACAATGTGTTGAAGGAATAAACTAGGTTGATCACGGAAGCGGTCCCCTCTACGTCTCAAACTCAATCTAGTGAAGAAGAGCAACGAAAATGGAGAATTTACATTGACTTCCCATATTTGAACCACGTGTGTCCAAAATAAGGATTTTCCTTAATGTCACAATTTAGAAAGAATTTTTTACATTGAATTTTTGTCTATATTTTAGTTACAAAATAATGGTATACTTACAATTGAATGTTTTTGGTCATAAGTAGTATTTTTTAGGGTAATTGGCGCAAAACGTCCCTACCTTTACCTGTTTTTGTGGAAAACGTCCATACGTTTGATTTTTTGACGCAGAACGGACCTTTGATTTTTTTGGCGCAAAACGTCCTTTTCCCTAATTTTTATTATAAAATGACCGATATATCCTCCAATTTAAATAAAAAAAATAAAAAATAAATTGTAACTACATGCCCAAACGTTTTAAAAAGTGCAAAATAACCCATCAAACTTCACCTTCTTCCTAAAACTCACCCCATCCCACCGCCGCCTGCCAAGCATTTTCAGAGGTGGCGACAGGAGGATATAGGGTTTAGTTTCTTCTCTTTTCCCTTTTTTTTTTTGGGTCTTTTGGAACGTGAATCAAAATTAAGATTTATGTTTTTTTTTTCTATTTTGAAGTTAAAAACTCTAAATTGAAATTCTTTTTTAAAAAATAGAAATTAAAAGAGTTGGGTTGGGTCGATTAGCCGCTGGGAGTCTTAACCCATGACGAATTCAACCTGACTAGAGTCGATTTCGATCGATTTTTCGATTTTTTGTCTAGGTCTTCACAAAAGCACAAAATAACAAAATAACAAAAATAAAGATGACTGATTTATACAAAAACTGACTTATTAATTGGCTAAACTTTTGCAATTATATATCCATAACGAGATACTGCCTAGAAAGTCAATAGCATTTGTTCACTAATAATAGGAAATTTTTAAGTGGTCAATTCAATGAAACACGTGTCCCAGTGTAATTGGCTAAGGCAGAAAATACATGTAGTGTAGCGGTGGCAATTGGGTCGAGCGGCTCGTCGGCTCGGGTGCTCAACTCGTACTATTCATACCCACGAGCCCGAGCACGAGCCGAGCAGGTGGCTCAGTAGATGAGCCGAGCCTGCTCGGCTCGTTAAGCAACGAGCTGCTCGGTGAGCGGCTCGTCTAGACAAAGTCGGCTCGTGGGCTCGTCTAGACAAAGTCGGCTCGTGGGCTCGTCTAGACAAAGCCGGCTCGTGAGCTCGTCTAGACACGAGCCACGAGCCGGCTCTGCTCGTGGCTCGTGTCTAAAAGAAAAAAGAAATTTTTTTTTTACCCAAACGGTCACTGAACAAAGTTTGATTAGCAAATGTGGAAAAGTTTTCCAATTCCATAGAACCTAGAGCCTATTTGAGTCTCATTTTATTTTAAGAATGCATTTTGAAAGAGTAGATTGAGGAAGAATTTGTTATTAAAAAATAAGGAAAAGTTTTTGATTTACGTATAATATTATTTTATTAAAGAACGTATGATTGAAAAGGAGAGAGAAAAATATATTTTAAAAATAACAGGAATTAAACAAGAGCTTTATATATAATTTGTGTGATTACCTTAATCTTTCTATCCCACCAATCTAATTTTTTTGTGTGGATAGAATTGATTTCAAGGATTAACGGACTAAATAATATAAAATTTAAGGACTAAATATAGATATTCGAAAATTTAAAGACAATTTGCCAGTACGTCTACAAGTTAGGGAACCAAACTACCAACCTTATCTTTCCTGTGCATTTATAATTTATTTAAAAAGTGGGATAATATCTTTATTAGGATTTTATTTTTCCATTATTTTGTTTGGCTAAGTATGACAAATCTAAAAGTAATTTGAAAGTAATTTATTGTTTTTATAATATTTGAATTACTTACTTTTTTACCCTTTTAGATAAAGTAATTCAAAACGTAATTTTTATTATTTTTAATGCAATAATAGTAAGTCATGTGGAGAGACAAAAAAACATATATGACTCCATTCTAGGGGGTTTAGCCTCTGGGACATGATATTTAAAAGAGGAAATTACAGCCAGCC